CTTGGAGTATCCTCCCAGCTCACTTTCCATGACCCTTTTCCCTGTTGTTGCCTTTTGTCTTGGCCCAGGACCCTAATGTTGTTTGGACACCTAAAACTCTCCAGTGTAGCATGCCACCCAAATCCTGTCCTTTCCTCTTTATCCCACTCCACCAAAACTACTGTCTTCTTTGTCTGCCTAATTTATAGGCAGACAAACTGAGCTAATTCTCACCAAGTTATGATAGTGACTGATAGTCTGGCCTCTCCATCTTTTGGAGTGTTTATTAACCTAAATGAATTTCTAATTAGCAACAGAGTGCAAAGAGTCATTTAGGGGCAGATGGTGGTCCTTAAATCCTACTAATCTATCTATTCCCCTAAATAAGGTCGAGGTGGGGGAGGGAAAAGAAAACAATGTGTCCTCTACCATCTTTTTTCCTACATGGAAGCAACAAATTCTTCCTCTTTACTTCTTTCCCCAACTATGATGAGGTATACTGATTCCTTGTCGTCTGATAAGCTCCAGTTTAGTCTCAGATGTGGACTGTCCCTGTCCGATCTTTAACCATAAAAGGGAACAACTCAAATTTCAGAAAGTAGAGGATTGTCCTAACCTGGATCTAAAAATACATCATTTCCCAATACAGGCCCCAAAACCAAAGGCTACAGCATCCCCCCTGACACATTCCACTTCCAAACAACAAAGACCAGGCTAACGTAGGTATTCATTCTACAGCTCCTGGAATTCCCTGACCATAGGTATTTTCTATCAGAGATATGACAAAGTTTAGCTGTTTGGACCTAATTGGGTCCAACTAGGTTATCAGACTGGAGAATCTTCAGAGTGGGCCTCCAAGCAGTCTGCCTATTCTATCTCCTTAAGCTATTCTCAAAAAGGTTTGATCTCATTATGCAAAAGTAATATAAATCAGAGATATTTAGAGGAACTTTCACTAAAGCATAAGTTTCTTGACCTAAGGTCTATAAAAAATTTTTTAGTATTATAATATGTATTAAAATTTAATTGGCTTAACTTTGTTATTCCATTTATTTTCTTTTTGTGCATTTAAAAACACTATTCAGAGAAAAAGTTCATAGGTTTCCTATATAAAAGGGGTCCGTGCCACAAAAAAGGTTAAGAATACCTGTGTTAAGTATAATATCCAATAATATCCAATCCACCAAAATCTTATATCACTATTATATAGAAATGATCTTCAAAGGCTATGCCAGCATAACACCATAAAACTGCCACCCAAAGATCAGTTTAATTTGGAAGAAGTTCATCAGTAAGACCATCTTCCACATTAAAGAAAGGGTCTTGTCTGCATCTGTGGTGTATCCACAATGAAAAAACTACAGAACTTTGACGTAGGCTTATCATTTATGATGAGCACGGTAACAATTATCATTAACCATGTCAGATTAGGTCTGTTCCAAATTTTAATTGCTCACAGTACCAAACTATTCATGGTTGCTTAGTTTTCATAGATCTGATACTTACTTGGCACACACATCTATTTGTAACTTTAAAAAATTAAAGGGAACATTATTCCAAGGGCTATTGTAAATTCAGTCTCAGAGTCATTAACCCAGGGCTAACATGCCAATCTTTATACATAGAGTATGTGGAGGAGAGAACAATGGTAGGTGATGGTCCCACTGACATGTCATGATCAGACCACATTTGGAGAAATGGGTCTAGTTCTGGGAACTGTCTTTTAGGATGGACAACTGATAAGCCAAACAGGTTGTATGTTTGCCCTTTGTTCTTGAAGAGGACCATGAATGACATCAGGGAATTGATGACATGACTTGCAACTGACTTTGATTTGAGTGAGGGAGGGCTGTGCAAAGTCACCAGCTTCAAATGCTGGGAAGGCCTTAGAAATCTAATCAATGTCCTCATAGGAAAACAAGACCCAAGATAACAGAGCTAGTACTGAAGTCAAGATTTCACACTTTAAATGCAGCCTAAAGCCAGCTCTGCTCAATTCACCTCTTGTGAGTTTCAACATCCAAGCTGTAACAGAGACATGGCCCCATACAGGCTTTTCAGAGAGCCAAGGCATGAGTGGAATAAATATCACCATGATAAACTGATGTGCTATTAGAACCTCTGGAGATCCATTCTCTCCTAGTCTCCTATAAAACAAATTATACTGAATTTTCTTTAAATTAAGCAGCTTTATTAAAGGGCTGTACCTTTAAGTAGAACACAATAAGGTATAGATATGCTGTTATTTGGATTGCAATTCAAAGGAAAAGAGACAACTCAGGAATAGAGGAAGGTTGAGAACAAGGCATACAATAAATACAAGCCAGCACTTATCTAGCACTTTAAAGGATTGTAAAGCATTGTACATATTTTGTTTGATCCTCACAACAATCCTTTGAGGTAGCTAATATTATTGTCCCCAATTTATAGATGAGGAAACTGAGGCTGAAAAAGTTTATGTGATAGGGTCATGTTATACAACTAATAATTGACTGAGGTGGGATTTGAACTCACATCTTCCTGATTCCAAGCCCAGTGTTGTTACTTGCTGGGCCACCTAGCTGCCTGAGTGAGAGAGAGGGTTCCATACGTGGAGTCAAAGACTTGGGTCTGAGTTGTAATTCTGCTATTTACCAACAAATAACCACCTCTCTGGGCTTTAGTTTGCTTATCTCTAACATGGGGATAATAAGTCTTGCTGCCTTTCCTCATAGGGTTATTTTGAGGAAAGCACATTGTACATCATAAAGCACGACAGAAATGTGAATTGTGGTTTTGTTTTGTTTCGTTTTTTTAAATAATTATCCTAGAGTGGAAAGGGAGTAGATAGGAGACAGAAGCAAATTAATCTCACGGAATAGTGACCTAAGGAAGGGGGAAAGGGTATTATATGAGGGATAGGGATAGGATCTGTAATTTCATAGGTATGGGGAACTCCTGGGTAAGAAAATCCCTCCTACCAATGCAAGCCAGGGCCTTTCCCACAACTTATGTCTTAACGGAGTTGTCGACAGTAGTAGTTTCAAACCTGAATGGAAATGAGAGCCATTCAAATGTACATAAGGATCCCTGTGGGCTGCATGGTGACTTAGTTTTAAAATGCCATGTTATCAATGATTTATTGTATTTTTATTTATTTTGTTCAATATTTCCCAATGACATTTTAATCTGGTTCAGATCACACTACGGAGTATTACATGTACTGAGTGATTTGACCAGGACCATGCCGCTAATAGGTATCACAGGTGTTACAGAAACTAGAAAAATTAACAGTATACCTTTATTTTTAAAAGGCCTAATATAATTGAAAGACTAAGGAGGGAAGCCAGTCTGAATTAAATTGGTGTAATTCAGAAGAAGATTGACTGGTAATCAGGAGACCTGAGGGTGGGCAACATGGTATTGTTTACTCCATAGATTTCTATGACATGATTTCAAGGGAATAGCCTAGGTGATTTATAAGACCACTTCAAGCTCTGAATCTTGTGATTCAATAATAAATAAATGAGATTTTATTGTAGAGCAATATTTGATGAAAAAACTACAGAAAAAAAGATTTCCTGAAATAGGTATATTACAAGAAACCATAGGACTACAATATTTTATCTTAGGCATGTCTGAAGTATAGGATCTATGATTCATCACAAAAGAGTACAAGTATCTCAAAGTTGCAAAGTTTAAGTAAAAAGTGCCAGGAACACATTTATTCTTCTAAATGTTGAACCAAAGCCAAGACGACCAGAAAAAAATGTTGCAACTATTCTAATTAACTCAGCAATTTGTTTCTTTTCCTTTCACCTCCTTAAAAGCAATAGTCTCTATAGGGGAGAATAGAAATTAAATTTAATAGAGATAAATGCAAAGTCTTGCACTAAAGTTTAAAAAAAATCTACTATACTAGCATAATAAGATAGAGAAGATAAAACTAGGAAGCAGTCCACATGAAAAACACCTGGAAATCTTAGGGCTTGAGTTTTCATTAAGACATCAGCATGCTTTGGAATTTCAGCCTTCAATAATAAGAGTAAGATAATGGCTAGCCATTCCACTCATCCAAAGAAAGGGGATTAAGATGCTGTAACGCTGCCACAGCTAGGGACGCTGGGAAACTGATTTGCTGGTAATAACCTAAAGAGGGCACCAACTTCTCTGAGATTGCTGGCAGACAGCAGATTAAAGCAAGAAGAGCCCTGGACTCTGAGCTGCTGTTGAGGCTAAGCCATTATGCTGCGGATGAGGTCATTTCATGGCACAGCACTGAAACTATGGGCACTCTGTTTATCTGCATGACTTCCCAGTGTCTATGTTCCTTTGTTTTTTGTGAGGCAATGAGGAAATTTTGTGCATTAGGTTGTGCTACAAATTGCCTAAGGTCTTTGGCAAGAAACAAACAAACTCAAAAAGGTCTGGCATCGATGACTTTGTCACGAGGTCAGCGACAGCGACAACACCTTGACAACCTCCTCTGGGTCCTTCCCTATGCTCTTGAGTATGTCCATGTCATAGATCCTGTAAGCACGTAATGAAGGATCTAAGAATGTTGAGATCAGAAAAGAGAAGCCCTGATGCACGCCCTAGTCCTTGTCACTCAGCCAATGGCTCGTACGCACCTACTTATTTACACGTTGTCTCCTCCACTAAAAGATGAGTTCCATGAAAACAAGCACTGTTCTAGTCTCTGTATCGCCAGCTCTCAGCACAGCACCTGGCACACAGTAGGTGCTTCATAAATGCTTGCCAACTGACTATGCCAGTGATTTGGATGAGTGACTTTCCCTTTCTGGATCTCAGTGTCTCCTATGTCAAAAGAGGGGATTGAACTGGATGCTCTCTAAGCTTCTCATCAGTTCTGAAATTCTTTAATCCATAATGAGCTAAATAAGCAAATAAATCAAAAACAGGATTACAGCAACAGCATTTAGAGTATTAAAAATCACCCAAAATCAGAGTACATGGGTCTAGTGAAAATTTCAGATGTTATTTAAAGACAAAGCATTTTTGCAGATAATATTTGTACTTACTGTAATATTCCAGTTGATCTGTGGTATCCTTGTGTGAAGATTGAGACTGAACATAAGCAGCAAGACTCCAGTAATTACAAATGCACTACAGCTCACAAATTCGAAGAAATAGAGCCCTTCACATGGGGAACATTCCATGATGGTCTCTATGCAGATGAAGGCAATCAGTGCCAATACCTAGAAAGATAAACAGAAAGATCCACTGAATACAAACGTATCTGTGCATGTTTGTTCTGCACATCAGTAGACACTCAAGCTTCCTATACTTAAACATAACAAGCAGATCTTTCAGCATGTCCATGGAGAATAGAGGAGGCGTGTCACAGGATCTGGATTCCAATTCCAGCTCTGCTACTTACTCCACGTTGCCACGAGCATATCACTTTCCCTCTTTCCTAGTCTGTAAAATGAGCAGTTGGATTTAGAAGACTGCTGAACACTGTTCCAGCTCTTACTCCTCTGGTCAATTCAAGTCAACATTTGTTAAGAGCCTAACATGTGAAAGAAGACATCTTTTGGCACCATAGAAAGACAAAACAAAATAGTACCTGCCTTCAAAAAGCTTACCTTCTACTGAGAAAAATACAACATGAACACAAACAAGCAAATACAATGTAATTCCAAGAGGAAGGAAGTGCAAACACCTGGGAAAGACCTTGCGAAGGATGTGGCATGTAAGCTATGCTTTGAAGAAAGACAAGGAGGACACAAAGCAGAGGTGAGGAGGAGGATCATGTAAAACACTGAGCATCACCTTGCAACTGCAAAAAGCAGGCCAGGTCATAAGGACTCAACTGGACTCTGGGTCATTCACTTGGAAGTATCATTAGTAAATCATCCAGATTTAGATGCCCACATATGACTCTGAAGAGTTCAAAGATTCCTGCCAATAGCTTATGAGTACCGTGTCTAAAATGGAACTCTTCCTCTCTGGTCCAAACCAGCTTCTCATCCTGCCTTTTCTATTTGTTTATGCTTATACCATGCTAATTGTAAATAATTCTACACAAAACTCCTAAAAGGCATTTGTATACCAAGAGCAAAGAATATCTCATTATTTTACATTTATATCTCAACCTAATACTGATTCAGGTTTCATCTCTTAAGTCCAAAAACTCATCCATGTTTCTCTAGATGTGTTCCCAACATCCCTCTACATAAAGATACATAAGTTCCCCAACTGAATGACAGCATGCCTACAGTCAGCTGAGAAGGGACCACATATGGGAAACTCCTCAAGTTTTTCTTTTTCAACATATTTTCTGTAACAAGATCTAGTAATCTTTGGTAAGAAATAACATATTGTACTGATGAGTTGCAAATGCCTCTGGTATGCTAGCTTCAAGCTGGTACTCTGGCTTATTTTAATACATCAACCATCTGCAATTTCATCAGCATGGGTTCCCCCCTCTCTGAACCAATGCAGATTAAAGCCCCTCCACCCCATAGGTTGACTTAGAGGCAGGTCCTGAGACAAACACTCAGGTTGTCACAAAGCATGTACTCAAATCCTTTCCAGCTTGGTAGAATTTATCAGTTTGTATTCTCTGGAATAGCCTTGAAAATACCAAAGTCACCTGCATATTCCAATAAGACTTTCTTTTAACAGGAGGACATTTTATGAAATTGCAAAAGCCCATCAGAGTGATCCTTTAAAAGAAGTCTGTACCACACAGTCTTTTTCTTCTCCTACAGACTGTCTGCCCCAAATTATTGACACTACATAGTATGGATTCTTTGACCACAATATGCTCATCTCAACAACATAAAAAGGATACAAGTAAAGAGTGATCTATGGAATTCTTTGTAAAATATCAGTTTTCCATTCTTAAGTTTTGTTGAATTAGCAAATAATGTGGAATGATACTTAAGCCACAACTACACTTTATCAGAATATCAACAGTTGGATTGAGTACCAAAAAAGTGACAGTATTTAGATGGGGAAGAACACAGCTCTCCACCACCTTAAATATGATTTAAATTGCTCCCATTATTTCTAATTTTTAAAAATACTACTTCATAGTAATCAATTCAAATGAAAATCTCAAGAATAACTTGCAAAATCACCAGGATCCACAACATTTGAGAACTAAATAGTCAATCTTACTTCCATTTCCCTGACCTTACCAAAACTGAGGCAGAAAAAAAAATTAAGTCAAGAATCAAGTTAAAAAGCACAAAGTTAAAACCACCCGCATTGGTTGGAATAGAGCACATAAAATAGCTTTTTAGATTAGTTTTTTGTTAATGCAAATTCCCAATTATTGGCACTAAAGATTATCCCTAAAGTGAACCATTTCTCTAACAAACTCAAAAACTATTAAGCATGTACAAGGCATGTGTAGCATTTATAGTGGATTGGAGACAAAACTACATTTGGAATCAGTAAGCACTGGGTTCAACCAAAGCCTCTGATACTAGTAATGGAACCCTGGGCAAATCACTTAATCTCTTTGGGCCTCAGATTTTAATTACTAGGATGAGCCCCAGGATACTAATCTATTTATGGGAGGAGCTTCCACACTGAGAAGGAGCTGACAAAGTCAGAGCTCTTTGAGTATATATTTGTATGTGCAAAAGACACTAAGAATACAGAGGGAAAAAAATCACACACTTCACCAGTAAGGAACTTACAATATAACTGGGATGGGAAAAGGGTTATGATACAGATTCAAGGAGGTAGGATTAAATATGGAGAATAAAGATAGTAAAACACTTAAAGTCTCCCACTGCCATCGTTCTTGGCATACAAAAGTAGGCTCTGATTGCCCAGCTGGATCCTGAAGCAGTTGGGGTTTCTGCTCCCATACCCTGGCATTGAAAGCTGCTTCTGGAAGGCAGGAACAGCAGTAGCAGTCCAAAAGTAGCAACAGTAGTCAGAGCTACCCAATGAGTACCAAGTGGAAGAAACGGCTGGATGGACATGTCACCTGGCATTACCATCCTGGCATTAGTGGACTCTTGCAAATAAACTGATATTTCAAGGATCCTTTATTTAATCAGTGTGGGTATTTCCTCCACCAACATAAGATCACAACCTTTCTATGCCTCAGTAGACTATCTTCATGATTACATAAGATCAGTTAGAGATGTAAGTGACCTTACAGGTAATCCCATGTGACCCTTTCATTTTACATATGAGGATATAAGGTCCAAAAAAAAATTGGATGTGTTGCCCAAATTCACATAGTAATAAGCGGCAGAAATCAGGATTTTAACATAGGTCCTTTGGCACCAAATCTAACACTCTTTCCATTGACCACACATTGGTTGTGGCTAAAAAAAATTCACCCCCTCATAGCTGAACTTCTGAGGGGTAGGTAGGTGGCACAGTGGATAGAGTATTAGACCTGAAGTCAAGAAAACTAATCTTCCTGAGTTCAAATCTGGCTTCAGATGCTTGCTAGCTGTGTGACTCTGGGCAAGTCACTTCACCCTGTTTGCCTCAATTTCCTCATTTGTAAAATGAGCTGGAAAAGGAAATGGCAACCCAATCCAGTACCTTTACCAAGAAAACGCCACATGGGGTCATGAAGAGTCGGACACGACTAAAACAACTGAACGTCAAACTGAGCTTCTAAAGACAAATCAGTATAGTGAAACTACCCGGCACAGTGGGCTTTGAGTTGAAACACATAGGTTTGAATCCTAGCTCTGGCATTTAACTATCTTGGGCAACTATGAACAAATCATTTCTCTAAGCCTCCATTTCCTTATCTGTGAAAGGAGGATAATAATATTTGTGCTACCTGCTTTACACACCTGTTTTAAGAAGGTATATTACACATTTAAAGGGATGTATACATGAGAGTTATCAGCACAAGCCTGAAAATGGAGCGAGTCATTACTGGGACTGTGCCATTCTTGAAGTCTTACCAGTTTGGAGCAAGTGGCCAGAGCTTGGGCTCTATTGGCACAACCCCGGAAGCCAGGAGAACCTACCGCACACAATGAGGCACCAGCACAACTTGAGAAGAGATCCCAGGTAACAGTGCCACTACATCTGTCACAGCTTAACATTTGGCCATAAAAGAACTGAAAGTATCTTCTGGTTAGGCTTCCTATTTTTTAACAAAATAAGAATAAGCTTGTTGGAGAAGCTTTGTCTGGAAGAGATAAAGCACCATATTTTCTCTATTGCTCAGAGAAAATTTTCCAGTTTATTATGCAGAACTCAATGGAAACACTAATCTAATGGACTAAAAATCAGACAGTGTTCAAAGTGCTTTCATGCATCCTGGCTTATCATGAATTAAATAGCTGGGACTAAGAACAAATCCTCATTCCATTTGGAAACTAATTCATGAATATTTTAAGATGAAACTAAATACTTAGTGGAAAACTAAAACCACTCTGCCAAAGTGGAAGCCACTTCTTCCCTCCAGCTGGTCGACGGCTTGATGGCCTCTCCATGAGGGAGGAAAGGAAGTTTGCAACCAACAAAGAGGTGTTAGGTGTGGAGACCTGGAGTCAGGAAGGCTTGAATTCAAATCCTGCCTCAGATACTCACTAGTTGTAAGTCACTTAACCTCCATTTGCCTCAGTTTCCTTAACTGGAAAATGGTGATAATAATAACACCTCCCTCCCAGGGTGGTTGTGAGGATCAAATAAGACAATATTTGTAAAGAGCTTAGTATGGTGACTAGCATATAGTAAACACTGTATAAATGTTAGCTCTTATTATTATATGAGATAACATTTGCAAAACACTTTGCAAAGCCCCATATATCATTATCATTGTTACTGTTGTCCTAATGACATACACTTCCTGGTAAGCAGAGGGAGAAGTCTGCAGCTTTGCAATCTACCCACCACTGTACCCTCCACACCCTGGGTATTACCATTTGCCCTACACCTCAACTCTTCTATCAGTGTTTTCTCCTCTATTAGAATGTGAGCTCTGGAAGAACAGAAGCTATCTTGCTTTTCTATTTATATCCCCAGTGGTTGAGCACAGGGGTAGGCTCCTAATAAGCACTTGATTTTTTTTATTTATTTGACGAGTTCATAATCTTCGACAGCCTCAACCATAATGCAAATGTCTTTCCTTACGATGACCACAACATCAAAATAATACTTGTGAATGTTACAAACCATGAGCATTATACAGCAAGTCTACCATGTGCTAACGACGGAGTCTTTTGTAGGCAATAAAATCTCTAGTAGTATGGACTTT